TAGACTAATTAAAAGCATTATACTGACCATTTTAAAGACAATGATTTCCCAGATTTATACATTATGATTAAAATAAAATATGCAAGAACAAACAGTTATGACGTCATAGTTGAAAGGCAAATCACCATATTTGCATATTTAAAAAATTGTTTGATTGCTCTATCTATTACCTTTAATTTGGTGCAAATTTCATCTAAATCTGAGCAATAATGACAAAGTTAGTTGCCAAACACTGAAAATAGCTCCGAAAAGTGGGTTGGCATATTTACTTTGTTACCATAGCAACGCCATATCGGATTCAGAATTGCCAACTCAATATTTCTTGATTGCATTATCCATTACCTTCCATTTGGTGTGAATTTCATCTAAATCTGAGCAATAATGGCAGAGATAGGGGCCATACACTGAAAAGAGACCCAAAAGTGGGCGTGGCATATTTACTTGGTTACCATAGCAACCCCGTCGCGGATTCAGAATTGCCAACATAATTTTTCTTGGTAAGTATCACGTATAGTTCATGAAAACATATGTCGCTTAGCTCGCCTCTAAAAAGGAAACGGAATGACCTTTGCTCCCATACTATTGCATCGATTGAACGAACAAGTAAAACGTTATAAATTATTATAATGAATACTGAATCAACAGTACTGTGTATCGAATATATTAACTTAGCAGAAGTATCAGTCACCAAGCTGGCGTAATAAACTTAATCAATCAATCCAGGATTCATATATTAGTACTCGACGCACTTATTATATTGGTAATCCAGCGTAGTTTTACATTTAGAGTCGATTCTCGCAACCAATCAAATCAAGGCTTCTGTATCACGTTTTCACCTGCGGTATATGGCATATTCCGCAAGTGAGTATGACATATTCCGCAGGTGAGTATCTGGTATTCACTGAAATCAATGTATCGCATATTCACTGCGGAATATCGCATACTCACCTGCGGAATATGCCATATACCGCAGGTGAGTATGGCATATTCACCCGTATCACAAATACCGCGCAACCATGAATGTATACCATATACCGCGTAACAATGGAAGCCATTTTTAATATATGATATATGATGTTTGATATACACATTGCATAAACACCCACGACGTGCATATAGAAATACATTCGGAAATGGTGGATGAATGCATAAAAATATACTGTGAACATTTAGCATGGATGCTTTTATTCCATTTATTCCCATATATGAATTATTTACGAAGAATGATACTATTTCCATTTATAACATAGACGCACCCGGAGATGCACAGTAAGTAGTTTGGAGCAGTGTCAAAGCCATCCATATATCAGTGGGACGGCACATTGCCTTAACCCACCAGCAGTTTTATGACGTGCACATCCGCGTGGGACTATATCTTTTAAGGCCAGGGTGCACTTTGGTTTTTTTGCAATTTTGAAAAGTAAACCACTGAATATTCTAGTTATTCAAACATTCTGAAGAATTATCAACCCTCAATTAATAGTCTAGGTACACTAATGCATCTTTTGTACAAGAATGAAATGAAATTCACCGAACGAAACTAGTTTAAAATGAAACCTTACCTGTGAAAGAATCTTGCCTACAGGCGAGAAAGAGGACATGCTGTCTTTCCCATCCGCCAATTTTTGCTATTATGGTTACCGTAAAATTTGGCAAATCGCCTCGACTTAACCAGCATGGTAAACAGCGTGATTATTTGATACGAATATATTATAAAACGAATGACACATTGAACAAGAGCGTCGGTGGTGTAAAGGTTAGCATTGTTGCCTTCCAAGCAATAGATCCGGGTTCGATTCCCGGCCGACGCATCGTTTTTATTGTTTTATGTTATGAGGTGTTGATGATGTGTTTTAAGTAAAACATCAAATTATTTGATATGAAGAATCAAAATCAAATTAAGTTCGATTTCAAGAGCGTCAGTGGTGTAAAGTCTAGCATCGTTAATGCCTTCCAAGCAATAGATCCGTGTTCGATTCCCGTTTGAATTTACCCGGGATGATATCAATATCATCCCTGATTTTATCCCTCTAATACCGATATCATCTCTGATATCGTCCCTGTCCCAAATATGTGATTTATCACTTGCTATTAAATACCTGGTATTGATCTGACCATGGTATAAATACACATACTTGTATATCCCTTAGGATAAACCCTGTATTTAAAACCTCCAAGTACATAACCCTCATATACTTTATAACAATGAATAAGATACTTGACAACTTATGCGGCTTCATGTCTTTTATTCGAAACAAACAACCCGTTGGATAAAACGATTATTCATTGTGAACTACATACCCTGGGGATAAAGTGTAGGACATATCAGGAATTTAAGTCCAGTACCAATAGCCCTAGAGATAATGGTCCAAGAACAGTAACCCTAGGTTCGGCATGATTTGGACCACATAGTCTAACCACTTGGGACTATATTTCCCAGGAGCTTATTAGGGACTAGGTCCGGCATACAATATTTCTTATTTCGATAGGATTAGAAATGCCTTTATACCTGTATTTCAAAAATAAACTTGAAAAGGAGCACGTAGGTTATCGCAAACAATTTCAAATGATTCTAACTTGAATAATGAATATTTTCTCATCATGAAAAGAAAAGTATATATAATTATAATTTAGTTAATCAGACCTAAGTGATATTGAAGGGGCAATGGATCAATCAACATACTTTTTCAAAAATGTTGACCTCATTTTTACCAAAAATGCAACCTTTTATTATATTTTTGAATGCATAATAAGAATGTGCTTTGAGACATGTTCGATTTCCTAAAAGAAAAAGTTGATTGCTCCAGGGACTTTAAAGATATTGAATTTGGATGACCAAAATGACCTGAAACCAGTGGATAGCATGATATTTTTCAATGGAGAAATAACATGGGGAACACTTATCTTAAAGCAATTAAGTTTTTCTTTCAAGAACTATTTGATATATCAAAATAAAGAATAGTAATGCATTAAACATTGTAAAAAATGATTGCATTTTTGGTGAAAATGGGGTCAACATCTTTGAAAAAGTGTGTTGATGGGTTGATTGCTAGTTAAATATCTCCGAGTTTGTTTGATTTTATCATTACTGTATTTAATTTTCTTTGAGATAATGAATTGATCTAAAAGATAAACCTGTCATCATTGTCAGAAAATAGTCATAATCCAAGATATAACCGTCTGAAATTGTTTGCGATAACCTACGTGCTCATTTGGAATTAAACACAGACCAGTTGGTATATTATATAGGAACTGTATTCGTTTTCGTATCCATTTTACTTTCTTAATTTAAATTGTTCATTTAGGTAACTTAAATGAGGAAGTATATTGATGATTTCGACGTCTTACGAAGTGATTCGTTCGCAAAAGCTTACATTTTCTGAAGCATAAGACCATGAGTTACGTTTGTGCCAAAAAAGGTAGTGATGATTTTCCCTATATCTCAAAGAATCATGGAAAAACAAATTTTAACCAATAACGGTTGCGCCATTTTGTTACGAAAACGGATTCGCTCTCGTGACTCGCTTCATGAGTTCCTCCACAGTGTATAATATCGAGGCAAAATAAAAGTTATCACTGGCAGATATTTTAGATGACATACATTCTTAAATGATGTACATCAATTTCCAGATGCTGAGCGGAAAACAAGGGCCTGCAACAGCAGTTCTTTTACTGGTCCTTTTAGTAATAGTGGCGTACTACACCTCGTCTAAAGGCAAAGTTACCTGGAATCAGGCTATGCAAGAAGAATGTAGAAATTCACCTAGAATACAAACAGATAATTACGAAATTGGATTTTCTGATCCCAGCGATGAACATCTTGTAAGTTGAGGGCATGGGTGATTCCTTACTCTATAACCTGCATTCGCGAATACTACTATCGGATGCCAGTTTGACCTCCGACTCATGTGTTATTTTTCATCCCATTGTAATGGTGATTGTATAATAAAGCTGCGGTTGAATAGAGATCGTAAGTCAGTGGTAATAGGCAGATACACCCGTTTTTGAGGTCAGCGATTGGGCTTGACGCGATAACTTGCAGCTACTGGGATACCGGGAGATACTATTCTATTCAAATGAATTTGCCATCACGTTGCTATCAATTCGGCAGTGCGGTAGCCGATAGTTGCATTCGCGAATGCAGCCCTAGTAAGGAATTTGACCATTGTTCACTTCTTTATTTTTATTTATTTATTTATTCAATAAGCTATGTTTTAAAATACAGACAATGAGCGGGTGACACGGATTGTGTATATTCCCGACAGGGTGGAAAGTTGCCTACATAGAAACAGAGGGGATCTGTTTGTGTGCAAATGCGTATAATTGATGGCAACTGAATGGTGTGTCATAGAGCCCAAAATATAAAGAGCATAAGAATGATATTCAATTATCAACAAAGTACTTTTCAGCTCTCTGCAAGATGGGAACACTTCGAGAAGATTGAATATTGTTTGGTAATCGATTCCAAATTGTTGGTGCTGTGAAAGATAACATTGAAATGCCATAGTTCGTCCGTAACTTGGGTTTATCATGAGTATCCTTGTAACTAGTATTGTGTTCATGTCTCGCCTGAACCATTTTGAAAAAGTCAGGAAAATTTTTCTGGTAGTTTTCAAGCTTATTTATCCATTTATACATGAATAAACATTTTTGTTGTTTGTGTATGTCAACAATATTTAAAAGGTTAAACTGATTGAATAATGGTAGGGAATGAGCTCTATAATCGATATTTGTTGCAATGTGGGTTAATTTCCATTGCATAAGATATAGAGAATTTAATGAACTACATGTTTCACCCCAAATAACAACACATATATAAGTGAATAAAAGATGCTCATAAAACCACTGATATTCAACAGTTGTTTAACTCTATACAAAATACCGATTGTCCTAGAAATGTTTGCATTAACAAAAGCAATATGCCGTTTCCAGTTTCCAGTTGTTTATCTATTGTTATACCAAGAAAGTTAATATGATCAACTTGTTCAAGTTGTTTGTCATTTAGATAGATTTTAATGTGATTTGCATTAAATCTTTTTTGTCTTGAGGAAAAAATGATATATTTTGTTTTATTAGCATTGAGTGATAATTTGTTTGTGACAAGCCATTCCTCAACATGTTTTAGTTCAGTATTTAAAGTTTCTGTCAGGTCATGTAGATTTTTGCCTTTAATCAATGAGTTAGTATCATCTGCGAATAAGACGAAAAATAGTGTCGGGGAAGAAAGATAAATATCATTAATATATAATTTAAAAAACAGGGGTCCCAAAATTGAAACCATTAGGAATACTGAACGTGGTCATCTCAAGATTAGAGATTGTGTCCATATATAAAGTTTGCTGAAATCTATTTTTAGAATAACTTTTTTATCCAGTCCAGAGCAACACCACGTATATCGTAGTATTGAAGTTTGTCAAATAGAATGTTATGATCTATTGCATCGAAAGCTTTGGAAAAGTCAATAGACAATCCTATTGTAAATTCACTATCATCGGTAGATTTTCTGATCTTTTCAATAAATGTTAAAAGACAATTGTTATTTACTCAATAAAATAACTAAACGATGGCATCCAGGTTATTTTCTCAATAGCCAATTTGAGCATTATTTACTGAGGTGGGAACCTGGGAACCTGCGCAAAAGTGCCGAAAATGAAGGAACCGATTGACCACGATTTTTCACAACATGGGCAGAGTGAATACATCGACAATCTTCTCGAAGGAAAGAATAACGGATTTTTCATAGAATGTGGAGCCCACGATGGAAAATTATTTTCAAATTCCTTATATTTTGAACGATATAGGAATTGGACTGGATTACTAGTAGAGCCCAATAAAAGGACATTTCAAGAACTTTTGAATCTTAAACGAAAAGCATATGCTGCTAATGTTTTACTATGCCCAGATAACCAAAGCAGGAAATTCACATATGTTGATGCAAAGGTTCTTTCCGGCATAAAAGAACTCGTTCAACTTCGTTCTGACAAAATTGCGAAAAGAAAATCATATCTTGTCCAATGTTTTACACTGTACACACTACTTTTAGCGGTAGGGGTGACAAGGATTGACTTTTTCAGTTTAGACGTGGAAGGAGCTGAGGTACCCATTTTAAAAACGATTCCGTTTGATAAAGTCTACATTAAGTCTCTGACAGTTGAGTATAGGTTTTTTGATAGTCATTCAGAAGACAAAGAAAAATCGCAAAAGAATTTAAAAATGATTCGCGATTTTTTCGAGAAACTTGGCTTTTACAAAGAAGTGAAACTGGATAGCCTCGATGTGATTTTTGAACGAATTGATTAACCCTAATGAGGACACTACAACGTATTTTTCATAACACTTCAAAACTCTCGAGGGAGGTGTAAAATTCACAAATTTTTATCAATGACTACAAAACTTAACTCTTCAAATGTTACCCAAGCCAGCCAGGCTGTTGAATTCAGCTTGTCACTATCTTTACTATGTATACCAAAGGTGATATTTACATAGAAACCAGCATAAAGACAAGATGCAAAACAAAAGATTACGTGCATCATTTAGTATCTCATTATAGCATCTGGTAGATGTAATGTATAAGGGTATAGATAAGAATATAATGAGAATGAGATAAATGAAGGCTTTAATTTGTTATGAAAAAAAATAAATATTTTTTTTAATGGATTTTTATTTCAGTTCAAGCAGTACATTCAATACATATTTAAGTTTAGTCATTTTACAATAATGTCGGTGGGTGAGAGGGTAACACACATATATATCTCGCATTATGTGATGTGATTCTACAATTGAACTAGTGGCAACCATAGCCTAACACAGCCGTGTTCACGTTTCCCTAAAACATTTAGCATTTACAATAGTATGAAAATTTACAACATGGAAAATATGAAGCAATATAAACTTGTTACATGTAATTACAATATATTTTGAACATCCTCCCATTTATCTCCTCTTCCTACTCTTACATCTATTAAATAATATTCTTCTATGTTTCTCTTCAGTCCCAGAAAGGTTGGACGCACCTTTAGACATTTACATAAGTATATATATCTCCTGTATATAGATAAGATTGTATTTATCAATATTGTTTCACTATTTATAATTACTGGTCCTAAAGTGATTGCACTTTTGTCACATAAATCAGAAAGCTTTTTAGGAAGCCACTTTTTAATATCTTGAATTACCGTTTCGACAACCTCACACGTTAAAAACAGGTGCACCAGAGTCTCTATGTGTCTATTGCAAAAACAGCATTTATCAGATTCCTTAATACCACACATCTTTAAGTATTTATTTGTCGGTAGAAATCTGTGGATTACTTTATAATTGAAAGATGCTAATTTAGGTTCATAGTTACTTATTCTATTAATCTTATTAATGTTTTTCCATTCGTGATCTTCAATATTAATATCCAAATCACCATTCCATTTATTCACACAGTTATTGTTGTAATCAAGGTTTTTAATTAGTTCCCAATAAATTATTTTACCAATTTTTTTCTTTTCCATGAATTTCAACACATGTTTTTTTATATTCAGAATAGTATTCAGGTGGTTTATTGTTTTCAGATATTATTTTTTTCCATTTTTCAGGAATTGTGTTTTTCAAACTTAAAAAATCCAAAAAGTTTATTTTTGTGTTAAAACGGTCCATAAATTCATTCAGTCTCAAAATTCTTTTTGATTCGTGATACATGTCTTTTAGAATGATTAAGCCTTCCAGCTTTGTATTTTTTATGATTTTGTTCACATTCTCATTTTTGCTATATCTTAACCATGTGTTGCAGATTATATTTTCAGCATATGATTCTATATTGCATTCAATTTCGGCTTCTTTAATAGCTGTGTATGCGCGAAATATATTGATTATCCCTTTCCAAAAAGTATTTTCAATTTTAGCCTCTAATTTTTGAAGTGATTTTACATCATATGCAAATAGTTCCCTCGCATCTTTTATACCAATTATACCATACGCTGCAAATTGCCATGTGCCATGTCTGGTCAATTTCTGAAGCCAGGTTAATTTCTGAGATTTAAAGGTGGTTTCCCAATTCAGAGGAATGTTTTTCAATAATCTTTCATCCGAATTACATTTTGTTCCTAACCATATTACGGAAGTCTTTTCAACATTAAGCTTTAGACCAGATGCCTCATAAAATAAATTAAAAATTTGCAAGCAGCTTTTCAATGATTTTTCTGAACCATCAAGAACCACGAATGTATCGTCAGCGTACATACCGACTTTAATATTTTTGTCAAACATTTTCAAACCTTGGATATCTCTGTATTTCAATTTGTTACAGAGTGGTTCTAAAGCAAGAATGAACATGTAGCAAGACAAACTATCTCCCTGACGACATCCACGTTTTATTTTAAAAAATCTTGAAAAGTGTCCGTTATTTACAACTGTACTTTCCGCTCCGTTATATAGAACCCTGAACCATATAAAATTGAATTTATTCAGGCATTTTTCCAGATATTCCCATTCAATACTGTCAAAAGCTTTTTCGAAATCCGCTAACAAAAGTAGGCCAGACATTTTTCTCGTATTAAGATGGTCTATAAGATCATACAGGAGTCTCGTATTTTCAGCCATTTCACGATCCGGAAGAAAAGATTTTTGTTCAATCGAGATTACACTTGGAAGAACCCTTTTCATTCTAGATGCTAGTGCATATGAAAGAAGCTTATAGTCTGTTAAGAAGTGATATTGGCCTCCAGTTTTTAAAATATTTTCTCATCTTATTAGGCTTAGGTAAACAAGTTATAACGCCTTGTTTTTGAGAAATCGACAGGTGTCCTAGGTCATAGTATGCATTTAATGATTTAAGAAGAAAAGAGCCTATCTTTAAAGAAAAACTTGTAGAATTCTACACAAAACCCATCAGAGCCAGGAGATTTGCCATTTTTCGCATCTTTTAGAGCTAATTTCAATTCATATTCAGTCAGTTTACCTTCACACGATTCTTTTTCTTGGTTACTCAGTGTTTTTAGTTCTTGGTCGTTATTATAAAGAAAAACGTTTGAATACTCATCTAAACAATCTTTTTTACTCGAATACAAATCTTGGTAATATTGAAGTTGTGCATCGAGGATTTCTTTTGGGTCAGTTATCAGTTTTCCATCAATTTCAATTTTATTAATAACCTTATTAACGTAATTTTTCTTTTCCAGTCCACTAAAATATTTAGTTGCCCTTTCCCCATTTTCATACCAGTTCAATTTCGCTCGTGTCAATATTCCGTTTACATAGTGTTCTCCGTGTTTCTTCAAATCAGATTTATAATTTTCCAACGTTTCATATCTCGTATGTAATTCCTTGGTGTCCACTAAATTGCTATTCAAAATGTTTTCAATTTCTCGCTCCGTTACATTGATCTTATATTCGAGGTCCTTTTGAATTTTATCCCTCAGTTTCTTTTTCCTTGATGAGTATTTAATGGTTTCCCCCCTTATTTCAAGTTTTAACATTTCAAATAATAGTTGGTCATTTATGGCAAGTGCTAGTTGCTGGTCCTCGTTCAAATTACCCGTATTATTTTTGATTGCGTATTGATCAATCGTATTCTGAATTTTGATTTTAGCAATATCGATGTATTCCTGGTCCTTAAGTAATGATACATTAAATTTCAAAATCCTCGACCTCTTTCGGGAATTTCAGTTTCAAGAGATATGGTAATGACATCATGATCTGACCTATAGCCAGGTAGAATTTTACAACTCTGAGTTAAGTTTATAATGTCTGATGTACATAAAATAAAATCAAGCCTGGCCATTTGGCGCGGATTTCGCCTAAGCCATGTAAATTTTTTATGAAAAATATAATAAAAAAAATACTACATGTTTAAGTTATTGAATGATTTGATGTGCAATACAGGATATATTCTGCTCGAGGTATTCTGTATTGGAACGAGACGAGAACTAATATCCATTTACCGTCGAGAAAAGTCATTAAAGAGGTATACATTTCAAACATTGAAAGTTTTGTAGATCTGCGCACAGTACCAATTCGTTCGGTGCACACGATTTTACCATCTAAACGAAAGCAAATCGCATGAAGATCATGATAAATCATATCTCATTGCTTATCAGGCCTGAGATGAGATGTTTCAAGTGAAACAGAAAGATGCTATAAGTATCAGAGTGCATGAAGAAAGCCGTTCTCCTAAATGGTCAAAGAAGCGGAGTTTATATTTTGAGACTCTTCGAGAAAAAGCGTTTGAATCTAAGCTTTTGATCGGTAATATCTGGGCAACTTTCGCCTCCAAACCCAATCAGGAGTTCATATTTGCAAGTTTCGCAATATGTTTCATGTATGTAGTAAATATGGCATCGCAAAGGATCATCTCAAAAGATCAATGTCGGAAAATTAACTGTATTAGAATAGTTATGGGGGAGGGGTCATAAGCCTTAAAAAGCAGCTTTCCGATATCGTCCCCGGAAATCCCTTTGAGCAAACTTTGTTGGATATAAGCTCAGAATTCTTCAGTGGGATACAATAGAAGAGATAATCTTATATGCTGATACTGTACGGAAATCCAGACTAAATAAGACTAAATAAATAAATGAATAAGTAAATAGATTAATAAATACAGGGTGTTTAAAAAAACGCAACCCAAAGAAATTGCTATATCTTGAAAAATACTGGTTCAATTATGTTCATATTTTCAGGAAATAAAGAAGAGACTGTGTATGTATAGCTCATGTCAATGGTTAGTTGTAAAACATGATGCCTTGGACACCTGCTCAAAAGACAGTTGTACTAGCAAAATGCGAAAAACGCAGTCAGGGGTGACTGCAACCGCAAAAAAATTAAATAACTTCCTAACCATAGTGTTTTGGCTCTTCAAATTTGGCACAAACTATCTTCATTCACTGGATGATAAATCTGTAGAGTGACATCAAAATCTCTTCAGGGACTTCACTGTCATGGTTGAAATGCTTTCAAATCGCAGTCAAACGCCCTGGTTCAGGGAGACTTAAGAAGGCATTTTGACCATGACTATAAAGTCCCTGAAGTGATTTTGATGAACCTCTACAAATTCAACCCACATTGAATGAGGATAATTTGTGCCAAATCTGAAGTGCCAAAACAACATGGTTAGAAAGATATTTGGTTTTATTGCTGTGGCAGTCACCTCTGACTGCATTTTCATATTTTCCTAATACAACTGTCATTTGAGCAGGTGTCCAAGGCATCATGTTTTACAACTAACTGACAACAGGAGCTATACATACACAGTCTCTTCTTTCTTTTCCTGAAAAAATAAACATAATTGAATGAGTATTTTTCAAGATATAGTTATTTTCCATTCACGTTTTTCGTATTTTGCTAGTACAACTGTCTTTTGAGCAAGTGTCCAAGACATCATGTTTTACAACTAACTAACAGCAGGGGCTATACACACACAGTCTCTTCTTTCTTTCCTGAAAAAATGAACATAATTGGATTAGTATTTTCCAAGATATCGCGATTTCTTTGGGTTGCGTTTTTTTTGAACACCCTGTACATCTAAACTATTAGTAATCCCAGATTGAGCTTTTGAGATGCTCCCTAATCTAAAAAGAACGTGAAAGTAATGATAATGAGGTTATGTCATGTCAGAGGTTCTTCTACACGATATGTATATAGAGATTATTCTATATGAGGTTCAGGATATTGGGATTATCCCGAGGCAAATTCAATATATCTGCCCGAGGGCCGAAGGTCCCGAGGGAAGATATAATATATTGGCCAAGGGATAATCCCAATATCCTGAACCGACTGTAGGATAATATGTTTATCCCATACCAATCTTGGTCATCTGGTCCACATTGTCCAACCGTGGAAATATTTTAGAATATTCATGTCCAGTTTTGTTTTCTTGGCCGTGGTCGGATTTTTCTTTTCTCTCAGATATTCCCACATTTATTGTCTTAGGGAGCTTAGGGACACAGTAGCTATGTCCGACAAAAAGTTTTTAAGATGGCCGCTTAATTTCAAAATGGCGGCAATTTTTCGTAAAAAACGTAATCTTTGATAACTCAAATACCAGTGAACAGATTTGGTTCAAATTTTATATGATGATGCCTAGTTCACAATGGTATAAACTAACTTTGTGCCAAATTTCATGCTTCTATCACAAATTGCACAAACATTTCAACATTTACACTAGCTATAATAAGCATAATATAATTTGTTCGGTGGGATTTGCTACTCCGTGGAGTTGCTGTTTTTCTAGTTTCAAATGATTTATTCAAAGAAGCCCTTTGGAAAATAGTCACATTCTGGAAATATTTGTGGCACTAGTTTGCTCAGTTATCGTTAATAAAAATGCCATTACTCCAAAAATAGATTTCTACAACTGTTCGTCGAGGAGAAGCAGCATTCTAGCATAGATATTCCCGGGGGAATTCATATCAGTGGATATACTGTACTGAAGAATCACCAAATTGAAATAATCCCGATCCATAGCAATTCGCCCGTCCTGGAAAATGTATAATACAATAAACTAACTGTTAAAATAATCTTCGGAAAATTCAACTTAATTGTTTTTGTGTAAGTTTTAACTTTTTTAGAAGGTTAAATAACTAATGTGGCATATCAGTCAATAATAGTCATGAAAGAAAAATGTCAAATTATAGTATTCTTAGTCACAGGCTGTATTATTTATTTTATTATATTATATTTTAGACGTTTCTAATGCATACTGCATCCTACCCCCATAAATGTGGGGTCGAATTGGCGTTTTCCTTATATTTTATCATTCTTGTGCCAATTCCCACCCACACTTGAAACCTATTCCTTATCGTGTATCTCGGAGGAATTTCAAAGCAAGTTGAAAGAAAGTTTGAAATTATTGATAAATAATTAGGTATTACTCACGTTTTTACGATGTTCGTTTCCACAAATGATTCTTCTTCAATATGATACTATTTGTGGCCTCAAGTTTATTATATTTAGTCTTTTATCGAAGATTTACTACGGATAACAAGATAATTTTTCCATTTTTAATTTTTGAGCATATCGAAATGTGCAACGAATCGAAAACGAAATCACAAATTATCGAAAAGTAAAATGGAGGGAATATTTCAAATGATCAAAAGCAAATACAAATTACCTTTGCAAATTTGAAACAACAGCAACGTTCGACATGGCGAATTTAGCTCATAGAAGTCGCCATTTTCTGTAAATATCACAAGGTAATTTCGTCTTGCCATCAAATGTTTTACATTTACCCAGCTTCAGACCGGAACTCAGTAATCCCACAATGCAGTAGAAACTAGTTCAGATTTCAAAAATCTCACAAAAATTGGAGGCTCGCACATTAAGCTGAATAGTTGCCGATACATATCATCATTTACATATATTAATCGTTAATAACTTCGGGGAAAGTGTTTTGTCAAAAAAGTCAAGAGAAGAGGTAAGGAAACTGCCTATTTATATTTGGATTTTCTACTTGAATTACCAAGGTACCCAGGTACACGATAAGGGATAGGTTTCAAGTGTGGGTGAGAATTGGCACTAGAATATTAAAAAATAAGAAAAAACGCCAATTCGACCTCACATTTATGGGGGTAACTGCATACATGATCACTGATATTCTAAAATGAAACAGTTGAAATACATGCAGGCAAATCTAGTTTTTACGTCATTGAATCTTAACAATGTCACAAAAAAATTGCCATAGCTATACAACTTCCATCCCAAAGGCGGTTTTGATTTGAACTTGTTAAAGCAATTAAATAATGCTTTTATTGTTTCTAGTTAATATTACCAGACTATGAAGTTATCTAATGTTATATATAATGTAATGTATACATACAAAAGTAATTTCATTGAAACACTTCCTAGACACTTCATCTGGAATCTTACGTACTCGGAAAAATGAAACAAATTCCTCGCACTCGATCCATCCATCAGCTGAAACGAGCCAACATATTAGGTTGTCAATTACCAAAAAACAGAATATGAGACAATATGTGTAGACAGATAATAGTAGAAATCTTCTGAACATCTTTATCACAACGTACCATTTCCAAGACTATCAGTCACATCGAAGAATATATCAAGCCATGCTCTATACCAAGAAGGTGTATCCATAGTCTTAGCTTTAATTTGCTTGCATGTGTTCTCCATAAAGTTAAGCCATTCATCAATGGTGACCTTTATGTATAAAATGAGAAAAACACACTAAACTAGATTGGTGAAATTGAACAAGTTCAATTCAAGACTCCAGATTCCATTTTTTTTATTTATAAAATGATTTTAACATCTGATATAGATGAGAAAGTGAAATTTAAAGAAAAGGTTTATGTTCGTCACAACTTTAAAAGCAAAATTTGATCAATAGTTAGGTAATCTCAAAATTAACAAAACTGACCTAGATTTTGACCTTGGGCCTAAGCACTCAAAATTTGTCGAATTTTCTATGATTAGCTATTGATTACCATTGACTTAACATCAGGTTGCTACATTGGTGGCACGGCGGTAGTTTTTTTTGAGATTTCAAAAGGCCATAGCTCCTGAACCGGATGTTTGATATCAATTTTGTTTTCAGATTAGGAATCCTGAGATAATTTCCTATTAAATTCAGATTTTGATCTCTGAAATTATCGGTCCCGTAGACATGACATCAGGGTACCATCATATCATTTTTTTGAAATTTCAAAATATGTTAACTCCTGAACCGGAAGTCGGATCACAATTTTCTTTTTAAATTCAGAATCTGGAGGGAATTTACTACTAAATTATTACCAAGTTTGACAGATTTGGAACATTAAAAAAAAATTTTTGAAGTCTTTCTCAAAATTGATAATTTTTTATCATAACATAAATTTAGCAAAATGTTTATAATACTAAGAGGAACCTAGAAAATGATTTATTAAAAGAAATATCCAAAGATAAAAAAGAAAATTGAAAATTTTTGAAATTAAAAAAATTGACCTAGAATTTGAACTTTGACCTATATAAAAATTTGACCTAAATTCCCAGAAACTAGGTCACATACCCTAACTGACTTTGTAATTAGATTTACCCTAAACCTTCTAGTTATTGAGAAATCGTGCTAATAAGAATAAGAATACAGGCAAAAACAATAGACTCCAGATTTTCACGAAATAAAAAATATCGGAAAGAGGTTTTGATATGTAAGTTATTATTTATCAAACAAGGCAATAATCTTTTTGTATTTTCTAGAGCATTGGAAACAAAGTAGCAATCACTGTTTTATGAATTTCAATTTTATTGGTATCAAGTTCCAACTATCATAGCTTTTCCCATCTTCCCCAATCACATTGGTTTTTATACCAAAAAGTGTCTTTTAGCTGTGGCTCAAGCTACAAAATAACGGAGACACAAAAATGCAAAAATCGAGGGTCGGATAGACATTAGGGTTAATTGTATAAAATCCCCCCATGTAAAGACTTAAAGCTTGGCATTTGATGCCATTAGGCAAGCCATTCCATGTAAATTCAAATGTCATGAAATAAATAGTTTGTTGACTGCTAGGAAAACATCCATTATATATCACTGTCGATCAACCTTATGAACAAAATTGAACAAAATGAATAATAAACAAACCTTATCATCCAGATTGACATCTGTTGCATGCTTTAACTCATCCCACGTGTTAGCAAATACTTCCTTGCATTTCAACCACATCGGACTACCCTCACTCCACTTTGTCATGGTTAGGATATTCTGTATAAAATTGTTGAAGCCCCCATATAAAGTTTGAACAACTTTGGCTTAACTTGTAGTCTTACAAAATGTTTTCAAAGTATAATATGTAAAACTTTCTTTTTTAATCTAAAAAGTGATTTTTGAAGGACTTTTTATTCGAAAATTGTGAATTAAGTATCGTTTACGATCACACATTCATATCTTTTCATATTGTCTAGAATTCAACCTTATGTGTTAATGGTCAGAGAAAAATGCATTTAAAATTTTTAGATTTAATGGAAACCAATAATAAAATAGTTTTTAAAAGATAAGTAATACTTCCTTCTAACCCGATAAGACAATCAGCATTGGTTTATTTTTTAATTTAAGCATAATAAATAAAGATTTAAACAAACGATTTTGCCACCATAGTATTGTCACGATGATGTCATTTTGGTTGCAAAATGTTTTTCATATGCTAATACATTAAAGTGGCACATTATATATGCGATTTTAAATTAGAATTGCCCTTTATCCAATCTTCGCATTGCTGTTATGATATTTTTTTGCAATATAAAGTAAAATAGTTGATGGTTAAAAAGGTTCAAGGTTAATTTGAAAATTGGCGGGAATATTTGAGAATGAAAAATGGAAAGCTGTCATTGTTTTCATAATATTTGTTTTAAAAATCTCTAAATTAGGTTTGAGTTGATATAAAATAGTAAATTAATGATAAAAAACATAATTTCATGGGGAATTTTATGGAATATAATGTTTTATTTTTCATAAATAATCCGGATGCATTTTAATCGACTCGATTGTACATACAGAGTGGGCCAATAAAAACTGGAACATTTTCAATTTGTTCTATTCTCTTTATTTTTGCAGTTCAATCCAAAAAATTATTTGTGAAAATGTTAAAGATTAAAGTATGTATGTATGATTAATTTTGGCTTGTTATTGTCATGATCTATATACTGTATGCGTCATGAAAATCTTCCAAATTTTCTCTGCTTGAGCTGACATCATTGCTGAAAATACAGTATCTTTCATACCATACAATATGTACCCTTCAAATGGTCTTAACACAATTTCCATCAATTAAAACTATGTAGTTATCTCTAACAGAAGCAAGACATGTCTACCTTGAATAATATAGCTTAACTGACCTCAACTATTTTTCAAAACTGGCACAATAAGTGACAATATGTCTCAAAACCTGTCAGTTAAGCCATGGATGACTGTCAAATACAGCTCAGACTGATTGTTCAGGTAGGTGGCAGACAAGTTCAGGAAACCCTTGTGTTGAGTAAAAAACGGAAAATTTTTCCATCGATTGTAACTTTTTTGTTAGTCATGTATTATCTTCAATACTTTATCAAATTGAAAAACAATTCATTGTCATTCTGTAAATATTAATATACAAGCTCAACATTTAATTACTGAACATGTCCTCCACCCACCTGAACAATCAGTCTGAGCTGTATTTGACAGTCATGCTTGGCTTTAATGACAGGTTTTGAGACATATTGTGCCAGTTTTGAAAAAAGCTGAAGTCATTTAGGTCATATTATCCAATGGCGACATGGCTAGCTTCTCTAAGAGATAACTACATATGTTTTAATTAATGGAAATTGTGTTGAAACCATTTGAAGGGCATATATTGTTTGGTATGAGGTACTGTATTTTCAGCAATGATGTCAGCTCAAGCAGAGAAAATTTGGAAGATTTTCATGACGCATACAGTATATAGATCATGACCATAACAAGCCAAAATTAATCATACATACATATCTTTATCTTTAACATTTTCACAAATAATGATTTTACCAGTATCTGAATTTTTTTGTGGATTGAACTGCAAAAATAAAGAGAATAGAATTAATAGAAAAATGTTCCAGTTTTTATTGGCCCATCCTGTATATCATCACTTCACATTTTTGTATTGCCCAAAAATTAAATAAACTCACATTAGCACTTTCATCGAAATCGTTTCTCTCGACAACTCCATTTCTGTCTTGATCTGAAATTTAATCGAATTGTGTGTACGGCTATTTCATATACAATAAAGTAACTTTATCTATGTATAAATAGGTTTGTGTTGAAGGTCTTATTTCATTAATTTATGTTTTTATTTTATTTCGGAACTCTGTTTACCAAACCAATAGTAGAAGTGATGCCTTTGTTTTTTGTCCCAGAATTCAGTGCGTTTAAATTCCGTTTCACAACCCATTTCTTTGACCAACATTTCTCCCATTATATTTCCAGGGCTTTTCATATCCTTGGACACAGTGAATCCGATAGCCATCTCCCGAAAAAGTTCGATGTCGATGTGACGTTGTTCATTCTAAAAGGAGAAATTACTTCGTATCTCGAGAATTAAATGCTTCACATACAGATGATAGAGGTTAAATGCTCTTCCCATAGATTAGAATACATATTCAATGTATTTGCAAGCATTTATACTTTTAAGTATTTAGAACATCACGCTTCTACCTTTTATTTTTGATATGAAGGAAAGGAGTTATACAAGGTGGACCCCCCCCCCTAAGCTATTATTCCTGATAAATATTTTTAACAAAAGCACCAACTATGATACATCATTTAATTTGCAACAAAATGATATATTTTCCACAACCCTGACTCGAGATATATAGAGATTATCCTATATGAGGTTCAGGATATTGGGATTATCCCGAGGCCAATATAATATATCTGCCCGAGGGCGTTTTTCTCCATTCTCGTTTACAGTATGCGAACGTTACAAAAAGGACCAATACGGGAACAGCGATTATGACGTAGCGGGCAGATATACTATATCTGCCCGCTCGGAGCGGGACGTAAAGCTATATCTGCCCGCTGATGAAAATATAAGTTTCTACAAACCGGCTTTATGTACCCGTAACACGTCCAAGTATGGGATAAAACCAATTATCCTTCACAAACAGATTACAGAGGTTAAATGTCCTTCCTATCGATAAAAACATATCCAACGTATTGGCGTCTTTAATTTTGATATGAAGAAAGGGGATTATACATTTTAGAATTATTTTGATCACTCAAAGGTTCATCTATCCATTCCGGATATACTCCCCTCCCCTTTGCTCACTGTCTTAAATAACAATTTCTTATTTGATGAGTGCTATAGCTACCAATGTAATCCTTCGATATGCAGTTTCTACAATGTCCCGATGGATGTAATGTAACCCATGGAAATAGGCAATGAATTCAGTGCAATCTATCCATCCATCTCCTATAATACAAATCGCAATGTCATCAGGTATTTCTTATTGGTAAATGTTTAATTTCTTGATTTACAAATTACTTATAACATCTTACCATTTTTGTCCATAAAACAAAAATATACGTCGAGATACTCTGTGTACCAGAAAGGAAGATCGGTGTCATTGACGTATTTCGCAGCACATTCCGCCCAAAAATCGACCCATTCGGAAATACTTATCTGTAAACAAAAAGGAAGAATTTCGTTATATAAATTCTACCATTTTCCATCTCAAAAATATCAAGAAAAATAGTTAATTTTGCCATAGGTTGAGGATTGACTAAAATGTTAACATTAAAATACCAAGTTGAGATGCAATACATATTAAATTGAATTGAGTCGGATATGATATCACATGACTTATACTGCGTGGATTTATTTGGCTCGCCTGGTCATTTTTGTCTGTATCTGCACTACTTTTTAGTTGCTCCCACAAGTTGGTCTTCATGGTATTTGCTCGCTTCCACATTGGACTTCCTTCTGCCCATTTTGCACCTTGCACCAGACCCTATATCAATTAGAAAAGTGCTGCTATTAACACAAAAATCACACCACGCCATCCATCCAAAACAAGTTTCAATAGAACCCAAACACGAAATCACCGATATTTATAGCAAATTGCATCATCTCGCATTTTACTTAAAATTGATATACAAAAAATAAAAGTAAACTGAAAAGTATATATATTTTCACTGATGATTGCATTGTTCATCTAGAATTAAACGCCGAGTCTTACGATAATTTGTCTTTTTACCACAGCTCCACATGTGGAGTATTGTTAAATATGAATGCCAAAATAGAAGATATACCTGAACAACGATGTCAAAATCTTCCTTATCAACTACTCCATTATGATTGAAATCTACAAAACATGAAGAAAGCTTTTGTAAGGTTTATAGAGGGATTTGAGGTTGCCGAAAATCCAAGACTGCTTTCAATATGAAGCTCATATAACGTTAAAGAGTGTATGAATAATTCATATTAATAGAACTTTGTGCCACCAAAAGTTGGAACGTTTTGGTGTGATGATTTTAGCTGTACTTTCAATGAAAGACAACTTAGCAAGACAACGCTAGACAACTTAAGGATGAGCCATCTTCGAACGCTACGGTCTTCACTGCATTCATCGACCAACGGGAGCCGAGTGAACGAAGATGAGGATGAGCTCCGTATTTTAGATAGATGTCCTTTATTTCAATATTTGAAGACTTAATAATTCAAAAGGAGTAAAAACTTGCAAAGATAAAGTATAGTCTCACTGACGGATGAATTATGTTTTTTTTGCTTGAACTTTGAATCAACCTTTTACTTACTAAATTTTTGAAAATACCCGAGTCACGATCGTTAATGCATGATGCACCAAACGTGGTATTTATCTGTAGCTTTAGCTAATAACGATAACAAAAAATATATATATATATTTTTATGAAAGAAAAGTACCGGGGGGAAATCCGAAGGGGTCACCCTAACCATAAGGGTTAAGTTGTTTAGCATCAACTTCTCAATTACTCAGATGCGAGTAGGTAGTTACCAGTTTCGCCACCAGGTGGCTGATTCGGGGGAATTAACGTGGCAGGGTATTACAAAATTCCCTTAAACTTGAATATGCATCAGTTTTAGTGGTTCACTTTTCATATTACCTTTATGTATCTGATAGTTATACAAATTAAAATATGTCCAGTAAAAGAAAATATTATCTGCCCAACACAAGAAAAAACATTTCACTTTTTGTGGTTTTACAACATGGGGTCTATGGGGAATCTCCCCGACCTAGAAGTCACATTTTCAAAGAAAATTAAATTTTCAGAGTTGATTAACTCTTTTCAAAACCTCATTTCTAAATGTAATTTTACATGTAGATTCCAAATATGACATCAGTTTGACTGAATTTTTAATTTTTAATGACGTAAATCAAGATTATTTCTACTCACATCTGGGATATTGGAATTTGATTTAAAGCAAGGGTGTCACATTGTTATAGTCACAAATTGTGAGACATCTTTGTACATCGTCTTCTACGAGCATTGGTTTTATAACACAATCAGGTACCGGTCACGTACAGCATACAGTATGTAAAATAAAGCCGTACTTAAAATACTTACTCCAAATCGGGCTCCAAATGCATTAATATTAGGACTAACGGGGGCTCGGGTTCGGGGGAAGCATTTGGGAACGGCGTAGATATTACATGTACAAACAATATATTTTCTAAATCGAATACGTAGAGCAACCCGGTAAAATTTAGTTCATAACATGACACATGTGACAAAGTATTAGCAATTGAAGATTCACGGGGGTAAAGCAGACCCGATGATGCAATGAGCTTGCTCGGCGGTATCATGACTGTGTAACGGGTCTTAATGTAAAAGTGTGCTCGGCGGTAGGTTCAAACAACGCGGATCCTCAAAGCATGTGCTCATGGTATATTCGTGTTTTAACACCCGTGAGATTAATGAGAGGACATTGGTTTGCCGTTCCACGAGTACACTAATACAAGACTGCAAACGTAAAATCAGTTGAAACAATTATCAATATGCAATAAACCAAACAGAATGTCAGTGATGATACTTACCAAACCAAGTGTAGAATTGATGCCTCATTTTGGCCAGCCAAAAAGAATCATCCTTAAAGTTTTTCGCCATGATGTTAAGGGGATGTTAAATCCTACTTGTGTGCAATGACCTGACTCTTCTAATGAATTTATAAACATTTTATATCTTCATCACTGGCGGATCCAGGAGGCCCATGCCCCCCCCCACCTTTTTGAGGGCCCAGAAAAAAGGAAAAAATTTCGTAGGGTCTAAAAATGGTCCTATGTGGCATTATTTTGCTTTTTACGCAAAAACATTAAAACATTATCAAGACTCAGAATTTGCCCCCCCCTCACTTGTTAACTTCTTGATCCTACAGGATTGCTAACAGCCAGGTCACGTACGTATAGAGTCTGGATATGTGTCTGTGTCATTTTTTATGGTTTTGTAAAACATCAATGTATCGCGTATCAGCCCAAGGCATTCAACCTTGAGCCAGTATTTTACTTTCTGAAAAATAGAACCATCGTGATTCATTTGTCACGTATACAATGAAACCTTGACTGTTCTCAGCATTAAGCTGATATATATTATTTTTTACATTTTCATACAACTGTCGAGATAATAAAAGTTTTAATATAAAGTAGTAATAAATGTTTTTTACAAATGTTCGCGTTCTATGCGAGCATTCTTCCAATGATCCTACTAGACATCACTTGTTAGCTATAGTAATTTAACGGAGTTTTTAAAACTTCAAATTAGCTAGTCACGTGACATTCTAAATAAATCAATTACCTTAGAATGTTGATTGAAATCCTCTTTTTCAACAACTCCATATCCGTCTTGGTCTGCAACTAGTAATAAAATCTGAGACACATATCTCGTGAAATAATAATTAGCGAGATCAATAGTGCAAGAACAGTTCATTCATGGAACGAAGCTTGTGAATTTGTCCCATCGTAAAGACATATAACTCCCCCTCCATCCACTCCCCCCTTCCACCCAATATTAATTTATATCGATTATTTTTTTGTATAACGCATGGAAAACAACTTAAAAAAGTGAGCAATGTCATTAGTGTTGTGATAATAACGTCCCTTACACCTATTTATTACAGGTCGTGTAGATCATTTTTGCCTGATTTATAGCAAAAACATTGACTTTTGCACGTTGTTGATGATGCGCCTTTTTTAATAGATCTCATATCTTAGAAGCGTACGTATCAGTTCAAAAAAATACTAGAAGAGCTAGTATTTTGCCATGCACTGCGCCTATGCATTTGGCAATTCAGTTGTCAATTTTCTCTTGAAAAAATAAATCTTCCGCTGAGTTTTCTCTGCAGACTTAGAGGAATTATAATATATATACTACGGTTACGACAGAAGAACACTCGGGCACCGGACGATTTGACTATCGAAGCCACTTACCGAACCAGACATTAAACTGATGTCGATGTTTTTCCTCCCAGAATTAATTGTTCGTAAGCTAGCTCTAGAACGAATAACACTTAGAATCCTTTATAAAAATGAGCTGATCTATTTTTGAAATCTTGCTTAAAATGCAGATTATAAATAAATTATTACATTTTATTGCACAAAAAGTTTGAGAAATGTAATTAACAGTGTATTGTTTGGGAGTTTCTGTACCTTCTTGGGGTATTGTTGCCCACTCAATGTAAATTCAACCATTTTCAATGTACTTTCATGTAAGAGACTGACAACATGTACACTCCCCACCATTGTAGTTTTCATATGATCAAAGTTATCGACGTTTGGCTCATAACTCTTCCTCAATTACAATAATTCGGATCCGATGATCTTTTCAATCACTAGGCATTTGAATAGTGGTCGGTTCAGAAGAGGACAGTTTGTTGCCAAGATTATGAAGGGGAGTGTATCTCATATGGATTTAAATTCAAATCCTTGCAACAATAGTGTTATGAAGCTTATTCTCTTACAAATTCCACATTTTTATTTAATCGTCGAAATGTTTGAACCATAGGCAAAGGTCGATTGAAATAATTTTAAAATAAAGATGGCATGGTAATCGATCTGTGTTTATTTAGAAAAATATAATACTGGGATCTGTTGGTGCTGCCATCTTTATATCGGCCCAGAACCTATGGTTTGAACTATTTATCATTGAACCACGAGTGAGTTTTTTTCAATAAAGCTGAAAATTTAAAAAGATTCTGTATCAGACGTTTTCACATTATTGGTATTTTTCGTGTATACAATAAAATGTTTTATACCACTCTAAGTCCGATTACAGTTGTATAACATGGGTCTATAACAACGATATACAGTGGAGAGTGGTATATCGTCATCGTATACAACTCCTCCGTATACACTCCAGCGTATACCACTGTAGAAGTGCATTCTGGGAACTAATGAATATTGACCGAAGAACGAGGTGTATGTTTTGTTACCCATGATTTCCTAGAATCAAGCGACGTCATAAATGGTACGCTCACTTGTGAATATATTATATACTCACTCGAGTATAAACACGATATACAGAATGAACCATTATATAACCTCATAGTATATTATATATTGGATATTAATAAAATGCATGTAAATTAGTCAGAGACAATTAAAAGACAATTAATAAAGCATCAACAATTGTATTCACGTAAAAACATACACACTTTACTTTCTTATGATATATTGAATTTTATACTTGTATCTTTCCCACCATAATGATTGCTCGTTTCAAAGATTGAGAAGCATTGAAATAAAAAAGATGTCTATGTAATTCTTTTGAATATGTAATAATCTCTTCCAAAGTACATTTATATATACTCTTCAAAAAATATAAAATGATTTATAAATACGTACACCAGCAAGTAAATGGAATGAGTTGTGTGTACCTGAAAATACGTCGAAGCTCCCAATAGAAATCTATTCAATTTCTGAACATGTTGGCTGGATACATCTTTAAAGGATACTTTGAACCTGATCGTTACATCAGGGTATTAAGCAACAATCCAATGCGCTACATTACGCTCTGTTAGAATTTTGAAAATGTTTATTTTGAAAATTTCAAGTTTATATTGAATTCTATGAGAAACCTAAGGGAAATATCAAATCTCCAGCCGGATGTTTAATTTTCTAAGGACGAGAACTGGAAATTAGCTTTATTTAGAGCATTGGCAGAATGACATGACTCAAAAATCGCATTCACCTGCTGGACGTCCCTGTAGTGGAATCGTATTTACCGTCGTTCCCGTATTTTATTCCCTTTTTTTTTACTTTTCAAAAATTGATCATCATGCGATATTAAAATCATCACTTAATCAATCAATGCTCTCGGCTTAACGCTTATTTCCCGGCCGGTAATAGTATAGTTTCTAAACTAAAAAAACTAACATAATAGATGTCAGCCTTGCCATTCTTCATTTTGCTTGGGCCAGATTGCCATAGCCGTCCATGTTATAAACTTGCAATAGTCACTTAATTTAATGATTTTTGAAAAGGTGTTGGTTGAATCTGTTTTGAAACTCAAATGGCATACTATAGGATGGCACTGTCAATGTACCTATTGTGATTAATCATGACATTTTTGGTTGTCAAACGAATAAACCAATGTTTAAATAATCTTTGCATTGCATCAATGGAAATTTGGCCCAAGTTTTTTAAAAACGTCAGGGAAAATGATTTAAATGACCTACTGTAACTGTATAAATCAAAGTTATTATCGTGGAAAACTTTTAACTGAATTCAAATATGCTATTAAAAAGTAAGAAGTGACACGGTTGAATGATTTCGTGCCAGAAAGCTTGCATTTTCTTAAACAATAGTCTAAGAGTGTTTCAAGGTTTTTTGTGCAATTTAAGCACAATAGGAAAGCTTTTATAGCTTCTTTGTTAACCCCCGGGTCATTTATTTTAGGGCAATGCAATTTTATACATAACTGACCATTTTTTGCAATAGAAATACTGCTACTTGCAATGGCTTAACAAAAATTCACAATATTTCAATGTTCTTGTTGAAATTAAATACATGCTAGTACATGTTTTCAGCCATATTTAGTCATTCTAAGGGGTTAAATGTGTCAATTTTGTCATATATTTTCCAGGAAAATTGAGACACAAGGGAAAAGCTGCATTACAAGTTGAGAAGACCTATTTCAGTTGTCCTTTAAATTCCATAATAATTTCATAAAAGCCTGTCAACAACCTCTCAAAACTAGCACAGCCCTCATGCGCCATCCTGTAACAAAATAAGGCCAAAAATGGTCAAAACCTGTGATTTTTAGGTAAAAACCACTGATATCCCTACTCCGAACTATATTCGAAAAGTTAGTTGCTTGATGGTTAAAATTTCATGAAAAAACGAGAATTAGCGAGATTCCAAAGCTTTATGGAAACTCCTCTATTGAATATGGGTTTTGTACCTCGGTATAAAACCCATATTCGATTCCTCCCTGTAAATAATCTCTTTATTATGAATATCAATGATAACTGGATATTTCATCTCATTGTTTTGTCTCTCCTTCAGATGGTTGAGTCTCGTATTGAATACTCCATTTCATACAATCCGTTTTGCAAGGGGGGATGCACCCCTGCCCACAAATACATTTTTCCTATCTTAAACCAACCCCCTTCGTAATGTAAAGAACAGTGGCGGATCTAGAAGCCTAGAAAGGGGGGAACCACAGTACAAGTCTGAAAAAGCCCACCAATGGCGCATGCTAGAAAGGCTTGGAAGGGGGTGGATCTGCTAGTGAAGGGTATGTTTAACAAAGCACAAAGGGCGACACTGGCGGATTAGGGGGGGGGGGGGGGGGGGGCTGGGGGCCAAAAAAAATTGGGCCCAAAAAAATTGTGGGCCAAAAAAGGCCTTAAGGCCCCAAAAAGTGGGCCTTTTTGATCATTACTGGGCCTTTTAAGGCCTTATTTTTTAATTCCAGGCCAAATTTTGAAGAAAACGGGCCTCAAAATTTCAAAATTTGGGCCCACTTTTGGGTTTTAGGGGCCCAAATTTTTTTTCAAGAAAGCAAAAAAGGTTGGTCCACATTTTAGGAGATATCAGGGGGGGGGACCCGAAACCCACCTGACATACCCTGACATACATGTAAGTCAACCCCCCCACCCCTTCTAAAGGTGAAAGGTGAAACATAAAAATCTTTGTGTTGCATGGATAGAACTAATCTTGTTTCGACGGATTACTCAAGATCACTCTCAATACTTAACATCAAACTGATTTTACACTAAGGCTCTACTGAATTTATTCAACATTAAAAATCATAGGCTTATATTTTCAACTGGGATTTTGACATGTTTTCTTAACTCCTAACATTCCGGGAGTTTTAGGGATAGCGTCAAAAGGTCAAGAACAACGGAACTTACATTATGTTTAACCTGATCAAATCCCTCATATAATTCATATTTAAAACCTTTTTGCCTTTGAACTAAATTTAAAAATCAACATTCATTTGTTAAGAAATCACCATTCGTCCCTCTAAATAGATTAGCATTAGTTATGCATTTTAATTAATCATGCATACAGTAGCGTTATTGGAAATAGTTTTCTATTTTTCTATTAAGAAGATCTTTTTTCTAGCACATGATACCTCTTTTATATGCCATTGTGGTGTCTTAGATTGTGACATGTTGTTGTTTTGCATATATTTTTATGATAATAAATACATAAATAAATAAATAAATAACTTTGTCATTTCATAGCTATTGGTATTTGGATACCATCCCTTATTTAAAGGGCGTTTGAAATGCACATGAAGTTGCACGAGTGATCTATAACGCCAGACCGATTTACACAAAAGTAGATTCCAATTGATTTGAGTTTCTCTTACGGTAGTTAATCGTACGAGGGTATTTCAAAAAATATTCACATGAAATACTATGAGGCGTCAAATGACTGTCTCCTTTATTGTAACATTAAGCAGTAACCTTGACATTATTTTGGAGCACGGCTGTTTCCAACTGAACTTTTAATCAAATCTCCAGCTTTACTCCATGCAGCAGTAAACAAAGTTGCAGATTTATTCTGCCATTCAGTTACATGGGACTTTTTTACAATTTGGTCAAGTTTAGAGTCTAAATGCTCAGAATGTAGTGATTCTAATTTATTCACTTTTTGATGATTAAAACAATAAAGGTATCCTTTATATTGTCCATCAAGAATTACATGACAGCACCATATAAACAAAAAGTTATGAATTACTTTAGAACATGTGTATTTGGAAAAATATGCGGTGATATACCAAGATATCAAATATCTGCCTATGCTATAACTGCTGCAGACATTTCTGCTAGGGCTATTTACATGATGTTCAGCAGATTGCCCTTGCATGTTATTTAAGACTGAAATACAGTTTTGTTTAAATTCCTTTAAAAGAACTTATGATAGGGTCAATTTAAAACTTTTGCTCACAGTATTCTTATAAGATTTATCTTTATGAGTTGTATGTTTTTATAAAAGCATAACTGTTGTTAAATGCGTCAAAAATTGAGAGTGAAATTGACTTACAAAATTTCAGCAAGGGACTATGATTAAATACCCATAAATGAGCTAATGCTAATTTCTAATCCAAATGTTAATCTAAGATAGATACTATATAATGTAAAAGTCAATCAATGAGTCACTTCAATATCACTTTACTTTCTTCAACTTTCTCCTCTTTATTTGTGGGGTAATATCCTGAAATTCTGGTTGCTGTTCAGTTCTAGTGGTCATTGATACGCTTGATTTTCTCAGCAAATGATGTTGTTAATGATGATCATTGTCTTATTAATGTCATGTAACATTTACTGCCTATATATGTAGGGTGATAATGCGCCTCATCTAATGTTATATGAATTCCTTCTTTCGTTTTGATATTTTCAGTTACCTATTTTGCATTAATTGGATTTACCTTTCTGCTTTTCTGTAAATGTTTACTTTTGAATGTAAAAGCTTTTTGAACAAGACCGGCAAAGTGATTCTATGGATTTTGAAAACATTTCCAGATGCATACTTGTTTATTTAATGAAGGCCATACTAAAATCCATGTTCTGTTACAATTTACAAAGTAAGAATCTTTAAAGGAGAATGGTAACTTCAGGGAAACTAAACTTTAAGACAAAGGGGTGCTGTTATGATTTCTAAATTTAGTTGTGCATATCTTGAATAGTTCTTTCCTGTGGTGTGTCATACTTTAAAAACAAATCACAACTTTTTTAGATAGAGGGGTAAGAAAGTATAGACTTTACGCAGATTTATGTTCATTAAATGATACCAGATTTGATCAGTTATGTCTCAATTCCTTGAACCCCTTCTAGATGTTCACATGTTAATGTTTCTACCAGGAGCAATTAGACTGTCAACAAGTTAAACAAAGTGAATCTAGCTTGATTTATTGAATGGAAGGAATACATTGAGGGGGAAATACTACACAACTTTAGCTAAAGAAGGAATGACCCAATTTAACCGGATATGGCTAAGAGCGCATGCTCAACATCTGGTTTAGATTAACAGTCAGAATGACCTGAACTTAAGGACAAGTATTAAAGATGCCAAAAACAAGCCATTTAAACAGCCGTGGGAGACGTAACTTCTGACTATATGTGACTATTAGTCCTTTTGGGACTTTTACATTTAGAAAGAATACTATACGAGGTGCCATGGGGGTATATCTAAAAAGTTACATGAGTTCAGTCAGACATAAGGAACAGGCGAGGTAAATCATATTGCCTCACCAAACATTTAAAATAAAAATAATGTGTTTAGACATTCTTTCAGTGACTAAATGAGAAACTGGAGTTTAATCAAGAAAATCTCTGCACATCTGAAATCAATTTACTTTTGAAATTAACGCATGGCAACTCATTGATTACAACCATGGATATGGAAATTAAAAGGAGTCAAGAGATACCATTAAACAGAATCAGATGTGATATGTTCCTTCGCTCCCAGTTTCATGCTCACAACTTTACTACTGTGGATTCGCCTGCTTGTTTATGTGGCTAATAGAATCTGAAACGTTGAGACATTTTTTCTTCAGATGTAATCTTACAAGGCCAACCATGAAAACTTTGTTCGGTGAAGTCCAGCATAATTTCCTAGAAATCAACTTTAAAGTTATGCCCCAACTTGAAAAAATACCTACCCTGCTCTATGGTTGCGACAGGATGAGCAAAGCAAAAAACATAGAATTGGTAAAACTACTCGCATCCCACCTCGAGACCATTAGTAATCAAAGATAGAATACTTACTGCCTTTTGAACAGCCCCTTTTTAGTCACACACATACACAGGAAGAGTTTTATATTGTATATTGTATCTTTGATCAAATTATATTTAATTATTTACGTATATCATATGTCATTTTAATATATAAAAAGACATGGCTAGTAATGCCAGTATGGCACAGCCATTGAAATAAAAAAAATAAAAAAATCTGAAATCAAATTTAAAATAACGGTTGGGGGAGTATAGCCTCGTTACTTGTGACTTTTGAGCAGGAATGGTGAAACTATACGTATTCTTGGAGTAAATGCTGAGAGAGTCAAAATCCATATATATTGCCAGTCAAAAACCACTAGCAACAAAATATACTTTTACCACAATATTAGGAAATCGTTTAGCCACCGAATATTTTGATCAACCCTCGTATGGTTTTATTTTTCGGCAAATTGACTGGAATCGACACGTGTTTAGCTAAAACAGGGCAACTACAAGGACACGTCGGTGATTTGTACAAGACTTGCACTAGGGATGAAGAATATTTCAAAATTATACTGGAACAATTATAAAGCTTAAACCACGCATCGGATAGTCTACTTATAAATTTAAAATGATACAATATTAAAATATAACTTAACTATTGGAAAATATCAGTAAGTACTTTCATTAAAATATTATCATCATCATGCTTGTTGTACAAGAGAACATTGTTTCCCTGGAAACGTTTTTAATGTATTTTTATTTCAGTTAAAACAGTACAATCAACAGTCGATTGTGACAGTTGCAGTAGTATTACAGTATTTTGAATAAAAAAGAAGAATATACAAATAAAATTTACCCAAACATAACGTGGTTTAAAGTTAAGCTCTACAGTAAACTTATTATGTCTACTTATTAAGACATCCAAGAAATGCAATTGCTTTTTATATTAGTCACCATATTTCTCTTTCCTCTCACAGATGGGCAGAAATGGGCAAAAGGTGTGGCCTCCTATGATGAATCAATGGATGATTCAGTGAGAATGACGGACTTTATTTTTGCAGAGCTAACCATACCTTCAAGACCATAACTCGGATAATAATCGCTTTGGTAAGTATTGTATTTTAATTATTATATCTTAATGCTTTGTTCATGAAATACATATAACATTTAAAGAAAATTTATCAACGATAAGTTCTTTACATAAATGCCTAACACCCATAAGCATAAAAATAATGCAATTGAGCAAAAAGCGCCTTGTATTCACTGTTTAGTTAAACAGGGGTTCGACCCCACCACTACCCGGCCAAAACCATAGAGTTTTAAAAAAATTTCAAATGATTTTAGGCTCACATTTTCAAATTTGAACTTCTGGCATTTTTAAAAACTGAACCCCCTTGGCAAAAGCTGACTCCGGGGCCGCCATTGTCTCCACTATATACAGATCCACCATGGTCAGGTTTATTCAATTTTTAGATGAGACTTACTATTTTAGTCTCAGGAAGTACCTATGGGCACTTCAATGAGCCATACAGAATTGAGCAAAACCTGACTATTTTAGTTTTATCAATTTTATTTTATAGTTTCACAATTCAATTAATAACACAATCCGTTTGGGTTGATCTGATGTCTTTCACCTATTTTACTAAATACACAATTTAGACTTGTGAATATAAATAAAATTATGTTACTATTTACATCCTGCACGAAATAGTATTACTCAATTCATAACAAACAGTCTGGGGAATTCTACAAATAAGATTGCCTAATTCTAACATTCTTGGGATTTTGTTTGCAAACACCTTTACAATTTAGGTCAAAATCCAATCAAAGATATGTAAAGGCAAGAATTTATTGGAAAGGTATTTTCAAAACCCATAATGTCCTCTTTGTGTCGGCATATTTTAGGAACAGCAGCTTCAGTTGTAATACACAATAACATAGATTTTGCCCCCTGGGGAAATTGTCCTACATTAATGTGAACCATCGTGGTTATGATATTTACTATCCGTATAAAAACCAATAAATTGTATTTATACAGTGCAAAATTGATTTTTTTAATAAGTAAGACAAACCATTTGCCAGTACCCAAAATAAGTACTATAATACATTGTACTACTATATAGTTTCCGCGGAAAACCTAAAGTAGCCAAACAATTTTAGACCCAAAATAATATTTTTGTATCTTTGTACTGCTCCAATGCTGAATACAATGACATGCGTAGTTTCCAAAATGAATTATACATAACATAATTATTTTCTTTTTGGCTGTATTGAAGTCGTATGCAAAATAGTGTCTCCGTCATTTTCTCTTGATAATCGGATTGTTTATTCCATTGAGTGCCTATATGTGGAATCCCGTAGAGGGAATTAAGCATTTCGACTTATTACGATTCATTTTAATGTAAATCCTTCGGAATGAACACTCTTTTACTAAGGTGTAGCATCAGGAAGTCTGCTTTCAGTCTATACGCCAACACCTGTTTATTTAGAAGTTTTTACCAATTTATCGACTTGCTCATGGCTTTGCAACCTTGTGTAGATTGTAAAAACGAGTGTACGTCACTGTCATTCTGAAGGGTAAACATAGACGTAGCCGGAGGATGGGTGGGGTTGGAAGGGGTGGGGTTGCGATTGGTGCGAACGCATGCTCCCATAACTAATAAAAATGTCACTCTTTTAAAATACCACCGTGCAGAAGTATGCCCCACAAAGAGAATTTGGTAATATGGAACATCTCTCAATTAACGTTGAGCTACAGCTAACTGATACGCAGACAAAATCATTTGACTATGGCTTTGATTGAAATGAATATATAAGCACTAGTGCCAAAGGGAAAGGACCAAAAGTTGTAATGGAACCTAGCAAGAAAAAGCAAACTCTAAGTGCATACCAGTCAAGAAAAACAAACCCCATATAGCCCAAAACCATGATCTAACGTGAAAAGAAACAATGTCTAATACCCCCTTACCCCCACCATTCAAGAATCAATATCACAATCCAAGACCAGAAGAACAAGGGACATTTCATTCATACTGAAGTCATTACAATACATGTTGAAGAAAAAATTAAAAATTGATAGCCAATTGATAGCCAATACTCATAACCTCAAAAATTGTTGTAGATACAAGTACTCATACAAGATAGAGCATTCAGTCTCAAATGATGTGGGATAGATAAAATCCAGTCTCCAAGTCCATAGGCGTTTCAAGGGGTCAACATCCATTCACAAAAGCGAAACAACTTCACTGTGGTGGCCTGTTCTATTGTAAATCGCAGTGCATTATTTGTTCTGTCCTTCCTAAGTCAATATGTCGGTTTATGAATAAAATTGAGACAAAAGCTTGGGAACCGATTTTTGAACAAATAGTTTAGGAATATGATCCTGTCAAACAATTGGCAATCTGACCGAAATCAATGCCAAATGTAGGCGAAGAGCCAATATCATACATGTATTCTATAATATAGTTTTTTATGTTAGTTTGGCCAAGATACCGAGATACATCTTATCATCAAAAATAAAGAATGAACGTAGAAAATTGAATAGGTAGCTGAACGTTAGGCCGTGTAGGCTCACCGTAATCTTTGAGGGGAGAGGGGGGGGGGTATTTTGCTGTAAAACTATTTGTCTTTCCTCACAATGTGTCCATGCCATGTGCCACCGCCTGGGCCTGTTTGACTTGGTGACCTGTAACACACCCCTATCAGGATGTGCTTGTAATTAATATTGAATCACAAGCACATCCTGATAGGGGTGTGTTACAGGTCACCAAGTCAAACAGCCTATCAGGATGTGCTTGTAATTAATATTGAATCACAAGCACATCCTGATAGGGGTGTGTTACAGGTCACCAATCAAACAGCACAGGAAACTCGACAATATTTTTCGAGACTTGAACAACAATTCCAAATAATAAAAAACTACCCTACTAATTTTGACCATGTCATCATCTCAGGTGATTTAAATGCCAAAAACTCAACCTGGTACCAGAATGATGATAATCTGGCTGGGAAACTTTTATCTGATCTTATTGATGATTTTGACTTCACTCAACTAATTAACAAACCTACTAGGTTCTCAAAGAACTCTCAATCATGCATTGATCATATTCTTACTGACTCACCTGATATTTTTACATCTTGGAGTATAACGGACCCAATTGGAAGAGCAGATCACTGCACCATTGTATCATATTTAAAACTAAGCATCACAAAGGAACAGCCTGTTAGGAAAACTATTTGGAAATATGATTCGTGTAATCTTGAAAATTTAAACAATGCAATCCGAAACACCGATGTAAACGGGTAGGAGGTCCTATCAAATTATGGTCCTACTCTCCATTGATTTATATGGTGACCTAAATACAACTCTTTCCCTCATTATCTTATACACAATCAGGGCCAGTAAGGGCCGTTAAGAAAGGGGACCATAATCCCTGGGGGACCATCATTTCTTTCACACCGACTGGCTGAAAATTATTGATTCAGACATTGATATAAACAAAGTGACCTCACATTTTGGCAATTCACTTATGAATATTTACTCAAAACCTATTCCAAATAAGAAAATCACTATCAAATCTAAGGATCAGCCCTGGTTTAATGAAAATCTTAAGCAAGAAATCAACAAAATGAAATTACTTTTTAGGAAACTCAAATCATCACCTACCACCCTCAATAGACATCTTTATGACAATCAAACAATCAAAGTAACGACTCTTATTACGAATCTTAAAGAATATCATGATAAAAAAACGCGATTCCATTAATAACTTTAGTAAAAATGATAAGAAGTATTGGAAACTAATAAGGCTGTTTCTTGGTAAAAGTGCTGATTCCCAAATTCTACCACTGTTTAATCAAAATAAACCTTGAGAAGGCAAATGCCTTTCTAAAGCTGTTTGCATCCAAAAATCATATGGATAATATCAATTTTGACCAATTGCCTAATTTTCCTGACAGAACCAACTCTTTACTCATTTCAGTTGCGACCAATCCAGATGAATTGATGAAATTAATTTAGTCACTTGACACTTCAAAAGCCTTTGGACCTGATATGATCACGAACAAAATGCTTAACCTCACAGCACACATAATATCAAGACCTCTATCTACCTTATTTAACAGACTATGTTCAAGAAATGTCTTTCCAGAACCATGGAAGGTGGACATAGTTTGTCCAATTTTCAAAAAAGGTGACAAGTCTGACATTAACAATTACCGCCCCATTACCTTATTAAACACTATATCCAAACTGTTTGAAAGGGTAATAGCTGATATAACCCGAACGCATCTGACCTCTAATAATTTACTTTATAAACACCAGGCAGGTTTTCTTCCTGAACATAGCACACAAGCCCAACTTTTGACTAAAGAACACTTCCTTCAGAATAATTCAGAAGAAGGAAAGGCATCAAAAGGAATATTTCTTGATATTGCATCAGCATTTGACAAAGTCCCTAATCACTTACTCATATTGAAACTCAAATCTTATGGTATAAGGGGACAGTTACTAAATGTCATAAAATCCTATCTTTCTGACAGAAAAATGTATGTAAATTTAGCTGGTGCTTCGTCTTCAATGTCGGAGGCCAATTTTATCAATTGCGGTGTTCCACAAGGATCAATTTTGGGACCTCTATTTTTTTGCTGTACATAAATGATCTCCCAGATAAAATCGACACAGAGTGCTATATATACGCAGATGATACTTCACTGCAGTTCTCATTTGACCCCAAAAATCCAAATGAGATTGATCAATATGTTGCAAGTAACCTGGAAGCGATTCAAAATTGGTCCAAATTATGGAAGCTCCAGTTTAAACCTGAGAAGAGCTGCGAAGTTATTTTCCATACTCCAAGAATGCCAATCGAAAACGTGACCACATCATTTCTCAATAACACTGAAATCAAAAGAATTTCAACCCATAAACATCTTGGTTACTGTTTTGATGAATGCCTCTCAAATATAAATCATATTGATGAGATTTGTATAAAGGTAAAAAAATGCTTAATCCTCTTAAAAAAACTCCAAAGCAAGCTGACAGCCAAACACTTGGAGACAATCTTTACCTCATTCAATCATCCATATTTTGACTCTGGTGTTGTATT